AGGTGCCTCGAAGTGGCCTGCAAGCTCAGTGAACCTGAACAGTCCAAGCGAAACCCAAGCAAAGCCACACAGTTTGAAACACTCTTGGAATAAAATCCCCTCCCCGGCGTCGGCTCAGTGCTCAAGGGGAGAGGCAGAACACAGCAAACTTGGCTCTGTTTTACCCCAAGCTTTCAGGAAACTACTCACAGTGAGGGCCAAGAGCTATGTTCATAACAAAACTTAAACCCAAGGAAAATTTATCATGTTTTGAGTTTCTTCATGAAAGGTTAGACCAACTTGGGATGTGCTCTGCTGGGATAAAAGAAGAGAAGGATTCTGCCCTTAAGGGCCAATTTCACATCCACTGAAATCACATGCAAAACTCCCAGGGAAGCAAGCTTAAACTTTTAAACACTGCTAGAAAAGCAGCTACCACAGTTCTCTGTCATTCTAGTTAGCCATCTATAAACAGTTACTCACTTGACCTCTATTTGATCTCTCCTTCTGCCCTCCGAGGAATCTTTCAGGGTCGAAATACATTATGGATATCTCTGTGTATCCGAATGTTGGAGGCTATTTTACTGCAATGAGAACAGATCTCTTGCAATTCTATCCGAATCTGGTTATTTGAAGAGACTTTTTTCCTTTCTGCAGACAAATCCAACAAGTGAATTCTCTTAGTTACTACCAATTTGTTCAAATGCTTAATACTAAAAGTCCTGTTCACTACATATGTAAAGGATGAGCTTGGAACCCTGACATGGCAGTAAGGAGGGAAAATAGTCTTAATACTTGAAACAGAAAAGTCAGACTGAAGTAAAGAAAGATCTTCAAATCACACTAGAGTTGTCCTTTTCTAGCTGCTGCTTGGATGTGCAGCAAGATGACAAAGCCTTCAAGCTTTCACCTGATGAGTAGTCTTGGGGGGAAAAAAAACATCACGTAGGAATGTAGCAAGAGTAAGAAAGACTGCTATTATAAAAAAAAAAAAAAGACTTCTTAAGCAAAACAAGAATGACAGTAAGATGGAGGTAAATTAAAGGCATATAGCCAGTAACTGAAGAAAGAATTTTATATGGAAGCCTTGGTTATTTTTTTTAAAATATGATAAAGAATTTCAGAGTTTAATTACAAAAGAATATAAATACATAAAAATATTGAAACACTTAAAATCTCCAAGTGCTCTTAACTTTGCATGCTAAGGATACCATGCAATATTTAATGTTGATTTTAACATTTTAACTTCATTTCCTTCCCATCAGAGTATCATACTATGTGGAAATAAGCAGTTTAAGCATTCTTTAAAAACATCATCTTGAAAAAGAAAAAGAGTTGCATCTAGAGACAGGGATATTAAACTGCTGTAGTTATTATCATGTGGGCTAGTAGATGAAGTTACAACCAGAGATAAAGTCAATTTTGTATCTTAATTGTGCAGTCCAACAGCTTAATATATGTATAATTCTTAATGTAGTTATCCTTAAGTCTAGAACCCAAGGTAATGTTTTGTAATGTATGTTACTTGAAATGGGTGAGGTGACTGTTAATCTTAACTCCATTTAAACAAAGATTCTGTGTGAACACTGTGGCATTTATTTACAGATAATAAGTCCAGGAAATATTAAAGAAGGTCACAGTCAAATAGCATTAATGAGAAAAAGATGAAAACAAGGGTACTATTTTCCCAACCTGAGGAAATTCAGTTTAATTCTTGACTCACAAAAAAATTTCTTAATAATAACAAGTTGTGTTGTATTGGACAGAAATATTGTTTTAGACATAATCTGTGGGGATTTAAAACAACTTCAGATAATAATGATTTCATTGCTGGGTTATGCCAGCCTAAATTCTAAGCAACAGAAATGTTGCCATCTCCTCATTTAAGAGGAAATGTAATTCGATACAAACACACTAAAAATTTGGAATATTGTATTATTAAATAAGGCTGTCTCAAGCTGTGTTGAAATCAACAGTGGGTCTGTTTAAGGTTTTTGAATTCATCCTTTCTTTGTTAGCATCCAGATAAAAGATTAAATTTACTGGCTATTAGGGAGTTCTGGCTGCAGCTGGTTGGGGGGGGGGGGGTTGGGGGGAGGAATGAAGAGAGAGAGGGAGATATTCAGTCACCCAGATCATCAAGGGGTGTAGGCTGGATTTTTGGAGCATTCAGATAAACACTGGTCAGTTCTGTGGGAGTTAACATTAAGTTGAAACGAACTTTTCAAGGGATTTAACACTTAGCAAGTCATTTGATTTTCCTTTTAGATGTACAATTCGTTCATATCTCCCTGAGTTCATAGTTGTAGTTTGGGATGAGAGGTAAACCATGCGACCCCCACTGAGAGGGAAGGGTTTCTTTGTTTTTTTTTTTTTTTTGCTATTTTGTTGCTGGTTAAATCTTAAGGTCAGAATTGTTGTACTGCTAGCAGCAATTTGTGCTTGACGGGAATTAAAAACCAAAATCGTCGTTCATGAAGATCGCTCTGACTTCATTTAGATGAACTCGGTTATTGTATTGAGATCTCTTCACCCCGGGAGCAGGATGGCACGGCGAAGCCGCGAAGGCAGCCCCGGTGCAGAGCTGTGGGTCGGTGCGGGCTCCCCTCCCTCCCTGTCCCCGCAGCCCCTCTCTGCGCTCCGCTCCGCGGGCTCGGCTGCGCTCTGACCCAAACAATTCCCCTCCGCTTGAGAGTACCGCCGGGACACGTCCTGTGCTTCTCCGGGAAAATCGCCCTGGCAAAATGACCCCGAAGCCTGCTTTGGTGTCCTGATGTCTGCGTGGGGGAGAACACACCTGTGGGTGCGTCCACGCGTGAGGAGGAAGGACACAGAACACGAAATACCAGCGGCTCTATCGGCAGACATCGGTGCGGGGCGGTCCAGCGCGGCGGGCTGGCCTCTCTGCCCGTGCCAAGTTCCTGGGCACTTTACCCAGCACCTGGACCCCCCACCTCCCAGCCCCGAGGGGCTCCCCCCTCCCAGGCCGGCTGGGAGGAGTCGGAAAGGCTGTAGATGGATTGTGCCGAGTGAAGTATCCCGTTACTCCTGTCTCCTCCTTCTCGGGAGACTTGGTCTCCCGTGCAGAGGTAGCGGTGGCAGAGGGGAAGGACAGCCGAGGCGCAGGGGAACTGAGGCATCCTCCTGCCCTAAGGAGGAGGGTGTGGACCCTGTTTGATGCTGGAGCACTCTGCTATCCAGAGGTGTAGGGAGAGCCCTTTTATCTGCGTGCTGTAACTCCTCGAATCAGCTCTGAAGGTCTGTCCAGACATTTCCTAGGATCCAACAGTTTTCACCTTCAGTTACAACACGTCTGCATGTCTGGGGATGCTGAGGGGGAGGACTGCTACTCAGATTTGACTCTGATCTCGTTCCACATTCATCCAGTCTCTCTAATTAGATCCTTGGGCTGTTTTTCTCTGTGGCAATAGTAACAGCAGACAGAGACGATTACTTTTAAGTGTTATTACTCTAAGTAATTGAGTCTCTTAAGTCTAGTGTGGACATAACAGTGTATCTACTAAGTGCAGTGTGGATGTCCCATGTGTCGGTGGGACAGCAGCACTCCTAGTAGTGTTTGCAATTACGATTAGCTTCTCCTGTCCCTGTAGAGCGTCACAGCTGTCACGGCAGCAGGAGCCAGGCTCATAGCGCTAGTTATGAGCATTGGCCCTTTCAGTGCATCAGGTTCCTGCACTACTGTGCTAGTTCACGTAAAAGAAAGGGGCGGACGTGGGAACGAGATCAATCTAAGCAAAATCAGCAGAGACTAAGAAGTACAACTAATTAAGTTAGGGAGCTGGATGTCAGGGAGGGATCCTGTTCGTCACCCAGTGTCACTGCAAGCATTTCCCCTGGCCTCTAGAAATAATCTCAGCAAAACAGCCACAGGTTAACACAGGTATAATATCTGGACTCTCTTTTCCAACCCCCTGGGCTATGGTTGGGAGAGTTTGCAGTTAACCAAGATATTAAACAAATGGTGGCATTGTGAACTAGTTCTTTAAACAGTTCCACACCAGGATCAACTGTACCCACTGGCCTCTGCACTGTCCCGACCGAAGGTGCCTGTTTTAAAAGCAGATGAGGAGCCCAAGTTCAATCAAAGACTCGATGTTTATTTAAAGTATTTAATAGCAACAAACAGGGCCCCGTGGGCTTGGACTGCAGACAGCCGGGACATGCTTAAGTCAATTACACTTGACAATGCTGTAATAGTTGAGGGCAAGTGACACCCCTGGGCCTCTGGGCTCTTCAGGGCTACCAGGGCTTTCAGCCGAGGTGCCAGGGAGCCCAGTGGCATCTGCAATACAAAGGAGGTGGAATGTTGGCAGCAAATGCACAGTTGGGTTCAGTTAATACGGGGAAGAGATGGTGTTTAGGGCCAAACACGTGCAAGCAAAAACTGAAAGCCTATCTGTCTCTTTTTTACCCCCAAACGCCCACATAAACTTCTGGGAGGATGCTTCGTATGAGGCCGTGGATCCGATGCCCAGGGTGCCAGTGTAAACCTAGATTCACACCCACGAGAGTGAAGAGGAAGCTTTCTCCTGTCCCTGGTGTGGATTCTTAAGGGACGCGTCACCCCCGCTTCCCCGACTCGAATAGCTCCGGTTCGAGAACAGCGGCGCCGGGGTGCCCAAAAAGGGCCGGGGCTGGCATAATTTGGTGAGGAAACTTTCTCCTCCCGGCTAGGGCTGGTTGGGGTGAAGGTGATCCCATCCCCCGGCCGCAACCCCGAGCCACCGGTCGGACGGGACTCGCGGGGAGCGCTCTGCCCCTGCCACTGCCCCACGGGGGACTTGGGGCGCGGGGCTGCGGGGGCAAAGCGATGTGTCTGGGGAGGGGGTCTGCCGGAGCAGAGCGAGGAGCCCTCCCTCTTTTGGTTCCTTTCCAAGCATTTTTTAGCGAAGGAAGGATGTAATAACATGCCACGGGCAATAAATCATAGGCTAGCTACTCCCCCTAGCTCCCCTCCCCCCGCCCGGCGGTCCCGGCCCCTCTATAGCGGGAGGGGCGGAGGGGCCGCCGGCAGAGCGCCGCGACCGCCGGGACGAGCAGACCAGCGCCTGCCCGCGTCCGTCAGCCGCTCCAGCATGGACCTCCGCGCCCTGGCGCTGCTCGCCTTCGCCCTGGCCGTCATCTCCCTCTCGGAGGGTAAGTGATTTGCGCGGCCGCGCCGCTCTCCCGCCTGCTCTCCGCTGGCATCGCTTCTGCGGCAGCCCGGCCAGGAGCGATGGTCCCGCCGAAATCCCCGCGCTTCCCCACTCTCCCCGCAGCCACCCCGCTCTCCCGGCTCCGGCTCTGGCCGCGACTCAGATGTGCGCGTCTGGCGAGCCCGAGCGATGGCTGTGGTGAGCTGGAAGCAGGCAGGCTCTCATTCCTCCCACCCCTCCATCCCTCCCTGGCGTTTTTCAAAAAGCTGGCCAAAGCGGTCCTCTCTGCCAAACTCGCCCCAGATTGAAATCGTCTGGGGTAAGACTTTCAGCAGCGCTCGGTCTGCAGGGAGGTGGTTTGGCTGCAAAATATGCATATCGACTTTCCCTCTAGAAAAACTCAACCCTTAAAGTTACAAGAAATTAGAAACAGGCGGTTGTTCGATTCCTTTTCTGTCCTCTGTCGTGATCTATCTTCCCTCAATCAGTGCAGAGCTGAGCCAAAGCGGTCACTCGGCAGGAGTTTACCGCACCCCCGGCGCGGGTGCACGGGGAGGTTTCGGGGGGCTCAGGGATCTTCAGTGACGAGAGGTCTGAGGAAGCGCCCTGCCGGCCGCCCTGCTTTTGGTCTCGAAGGTAGCGGCCCCCGCAGTCATCCTTCCCGCACCGCACCGCAGAGCTGTCTCGCAGCCCGATTGCCCCACGCTAGTCCCCGCGGTCCCGCGTGTCGCTCCCGGAGCCTGGCCACAGCGGCAGCTTCCCGGCTCGCTTGCCAGCTGCACCCCGTGGGAGCCGCCGGGTTCGGACGGCCTCGGAGACCGCGGCAACCCGCGCTTCTTGCCCCGCATCCCGGGGGAGCCCTGTGCTCCGGGGCTCCGGGGGAGCGGGGAACTCGCAGGGTAGCCGCACTCCCCACGCGTGGAGGGGCGAGGGTCCAACCCGCAACCTCTGGGCATCTCCCGGACCCTCTTCCTGCTTCTATCTTCTCACCTGGCAGAGATTTGCCACCTCTTGTCCTTTCATCGAAACCTCGCTGGTTGGGCACCTTTTCAAACCTTCACTCCCATCCTATTCTCCCATTCTGACGACCGAAACTTGGGTGTTCCCCACCCAGGGCGGCCGAGGATGCCCTCCGGTGCCCTCTTTGTTTAGCCTGAGAGAGTTAATTGCTCCCGAATATTTTCCCGATGCCTTTCCACAGTATTGTCCCCGCAGCAGTCCCATCCCGGCAGAACACGGAGGGCACTGTCCTGTAGAGATTCCATCGAGCCGGCCCAGCCCAGGTGGGCTCCGGCCCGCGCCGCGTTCGCCAGGATCCACCACCCCGGGGTTGTGGACTGGGAGGCGAGCGGCAGGTAGCGAAGGCTACCCGGGGGACCACGGGTGGCAGTGCCAGCCCCGGCCCCTCGCCTCCGCCGTCACCGCTTGCTCCTGGGAGCGCTGCTGCGAGAGGCCGGGGCTGCTGGTGCCTGGGGACCTGAGCGGGGTTCCCTCGCCTCTGCAGGCGAGTGCAGGTCTGGAGGCGTGGGAGTAGGGGACTGGGGGCTCAGGAGCTCTCCCTTCCCTCTGCAGCCCTTGGCTCAGGGCTGGGGGGCTCGCAGAGCTGCCCGGTTGCACCTCGGTTCGCTGCCACCCCTCCTGCACTCCCTTTCTTGCAGAGAGCGACAGCGGGTATCTTTATAGGGGGTAAGCGTGTGGGGACATGGCTACCTGAGTAAGGAAACGTCTTAAAAGAGCTGGAGAGAAACTAGCGTAAGGAGAGTGACCCCCACCGTCTTGCAGCCATAAGAGAGTTAAGTTTTTCTGCCTATTTCTTTGCATCTCGTGTAGTGCTCTCAACCCTGATCCAGGTGAGGGCTCGCAGGGCTACCTTGTACTGGAAGGCAGGTGAGCTCTGAATTCTTCCTTGTCACCTGGTAAAGTTCTATCTGCCTATCCCAGCTTTGCTTTCCAGGGAAATGGAGCTGTTCTAGACTTAAAAAGTTGCCATCCATCTCCTGGTAATGACAAATGCATCCTAAACTGAACAGAAGTAAAATGATGCTTCCATCAAATGTTTTGTCTGTTCTTGTCCAGCCTGCTTGCCTGGATATAGCTCCTCTCTCTATTCAAGCATCCAGAGCTTCCTAGCCCACACAGCAAGTTACTGATAGTAACTTTGCAGGAGAACTGGCAACTCGCTTCTTCCCTTACTGTTCAGTTTCAGTGTGGGTGAAGAGAAGCAAATCCTTATGGGGTGAAATAGATATCGTCCAACACTGACAAGTCACCACTCTAGGAGAGGGTTTTGTGCGTGCTTTCTCTCTAGAATTTGCCTGTAAAGGTGGGTGTTCAGAGCCAGCAAAACTCAGCTTTAGGTTAGAAATCAATAAAACTACTTATTATTTTTAAAAAGCCCAAACCCTAAACCCCTTCAAACTCTTCTAGATGAGACCAAAAGAGGTTCTTTTTTTCTTTTCATTTCAGTAAAATTAGGCTGAAGGAATGACATTGAGATGTCTGACTAGCATCTGGCTCGTCTATAACTTCTGACTATATTCTACCATTTTAACTAAATGTGCCAGACAGATAAAGGTCTCAAAAGCTTTATGTACCATCAGTTGCATGAAAACCGATGTTTTCATCTAACGGAGCAATTAACAGAGTATATTAATTTGCCTCACTGTGGGAATGGCTTCAGCTTGTGCTCAGTGTTTGTTAGACATCAGAGAACTCCCAGAGCATTAGCACTTGCAGAATAATAATCACACATGTAGAATAATAATCAGCTTAATCAGATCTAACGTCCATGGAACAATATGTTTCAAATTTTGAAACGAGATGAGGATTGTGTTTGCCAGCCTCAAAGTAAGACCAGAAATGTCTCCTTCCTAAATTACAGCCCCCAAATGGCCTCTTCTCCCTCCTACTTTAAGAAGGTAGGGGTTTATGTCTTGGGAGATGCCACATGCAACAGTTTTCCCTGTTTTTCAGCTTTAAGAGCACAGTGAACCAAGGGACAGTGGCAGGAGATACTGGTTCCCTCTTAGTGGTACAGAGAGCTGACCTGCTCGGTGCCTGTGCTGACACTCCCTGGTGCTCAGTGCCTGCTGCTGATCATCATCAAGCAAAGGGATTCTTGTGCTTGGGACGGATTTGTCACTGAGCACTGAATGCTAGGACTTTGCCTTTTCCTTGCTGTGCTGGATGCCTTTTCTTGGGCAAGAAACAACTTTGGGATTTACAGACATGTTAGTCATGGTTAAACTTTCTCTCCTTCTGATTTCAAGTGGTATGGGATTGAAAATCCTACCTCGAGTCTCAGAGAGGAGAGGATTACATTATCAAATCATGATCTGAACAGTTCATCTCCTGCATGTTGTTTAGGTTAAAGCTTGCTTAAACTTGGTTGGCACAAGCTTGCAGAGACAGTGTCACTGCAGCCGTGCTGAGTGGTGGTGTATGACTGTATTGTTTCAGCCTCCCTTTCCAATACAAGCTCACAGATGTGTAGCTATCAGGCACAGATTTGCAGTGGAAAATCCTAGTGTCTTCCTCACTCCCTTTCACATTAGCACTAGCCAGTCTAAGGCATGTTCTTGAAGTTCACTCTGTAACCCTCCTTCCTCCTCCCCCTGGATGGGAGCTTCTCCTCCCTTTTATTAACTCCTGGATGGGATCACTGTTTGGACTGTCATAAAGCTGATAGAAAAGTCCTTCAGTTTTCTTAACCCAGATTCTGGTGCCAATCTAGAGGAGCTCTACTCCCACTAATTAATTTCTCTCATGGGATCTGATTCTGGCTCATCTCTTGGTAGAGGCATTTGGAAAAAAAGGACTTTCTTGAGGACAGGAAAATTTCACCCTGTTGTCTGTGGTTTTGTGTGCTAGAGACAGGCATCGATAAATGTGCAGTATATGTAGATCAGTTACCCTTTGAAAGCTGTCTCTTTTCTCACCTTCCTAGACATCTGTTTAGAGATTCCAAGCCTTTCTCTGCTCTTTAGCTCCCCATCTACCTTTAAGGGAACTGGATTTGGATGCTGCAAGTACTCCTGTGAGGCTTAACCAACAGGGCCCCAGATAGCCATGTGGTATCTCAAGGCCTGTCAGATATATATCTGACCATCTACACCATGAGCCAGACCTCCAGGATTAGATGTATGAATTTAATTCCCCCCAGAGGCTGAAAACTGCTCCACTGGGAAATTGTTTAAAATCTTAGGCATCTCCTCCCTGTGTTTGTGTTTTATTGTGCTTGGAGCTTTGAAACTTACACTCAGAGTGAGTACCTTACTCATGTGCACTTAGTTGGCAGTAATCAAGTTCTTCCACGGACAAATCGGGTAGCAAGAAGCTGTGGTGGGCGCCAGGCTGATTTTCTCAGTTCTGCATGCATATACATGGTTGATTTCTAGCCTAGGGCATCAAACTTAATTCTGTCCCTAGCGATGCTAGTGACAGAACTCTCCTCCAGTCTAGTGGCCCCTGAATAGCTCTGCTTGTATTGAGGGCACCCTGCCTGATAACTGTCTCCTCGATTGCCGTTACTTAGCCACAGGCTGGAAATTCAAAAGGCTGAAAATCTCTTCTGTAAAACCTCTTGGATCTCACATCTCTGAGCTGCACCTTCTTGTGCGGGTACCTCGGTTGGGAGTCAGAGCTGGCAGCAGTGGGGAAAGGTCAGCTGGGCCCTGGGAACGCCTGAAAAACCAGGGTTTTTCTGTAGCCAGTAAGTCCCCTGTGAAAAGCCTGCACCTGAGCCGAGCCGTTTTGATCTTAACTCTTTGGAATTCATCGCTTTCTTCTGGCTACCTTCTAATTTGGCCTGGGGTCAAAATCGTTTGAGTAGAACAACACCGAGGACAAGTGCCCCCTCTTTTGGCCTTTATCTTGTCTAATTACCAGGAGCATCCCTGCACAATGGAGCGGCTCCTTATTCTAATCTCTTCTACTTTACTTATCTCCATTTTCTTTCCCCTTTCTTTTGTCTTCCAAAATCCCACGCACCATTATTGAAAGGCTGGGCACTGGGCTAAAGGGATTGTGCTCTGAGCTGTGAGCAAATGCTCTCCCAAAGATACAGCTTTTCTACTGCTTTTTTTCCACCTGCATATTTGGAGGGAGTTCCTTTCTGTCGGCCCTGCTCTGTGTATCTGTGCTGCTGACTGGGAGCAAGAGGGAGTAACGGAGTAACGTGTCCTTTCCCTCCCTTTGTCTCACAGAGAAACCCGTCAGCCTGACTTACCGATGTCCCTGTCGATTCTACGAGAGCAACGTGGCAAGAGCCAACATTAAGCACCTCAAAATCCTCTCCACACCTAACTGCTCACTTCAGATTGTGTAAGTCTTTTTTCATCTGGATGCAAATCTCTGGTGTCAAAAAGAAGAGTCACAGACCTGGTGCCTGCTCTGGTGGTTGCATTTCAGTCTGTCTCATCCCATGATTCCAAATTCATCTCTTCACCTGAAATGTCAGATACAGCTGGACTCTTCTTTACCCCAAATAAAGGAGCCCAGCTGGATGTTTCTCAGCTGTGTTCACCTCTGTGATCTCCCTATGTGATCCTATGTCCTCTTCCCCCGTGGGTATGTGAGCAGCCCATTGCCTTCAATGTGGAGCTTCACACCTTGAGGTGAAGACTTTACAGTGGGGTCTGAGTCTTCTAATGTTTCACTTCACCATAGAGAGGAGCTAAACAAGCAGAAGGAATTCCTTTATTTCATGTATCCTCCACAGGAGGTACAGACTCTAAACGTGTGATGGTCTGATCTAGGAACACTTAACAGACAGTGATTGTCTCAGGAAACTCCAGCTGGAGAGAAATGATGGGTTTCCAATGGAAAATAACCTCTTCATTTTTGCTGAAAAAGAAACCCTGGTTTTGAGGAAAAATGGGGGGGTTTCTGTTTGTTTCTGTAGATCTGTGTGTGTGTGTGTTTTAGGAAAGGTTTTTTGGTTCATGGGTGACCCCCTTCCTTCCCTCCCAAAATTCAAAATATTCAGAAGAAAAGAAATAACATTCATCTTTTCACTGCATGAGAGTCTTACTACTATCAACTTCTCTTGACCTCTGTAAGAGGGTGTCAGTGACTAGATTTGGTATCTGTGCAGTCCCATTACTAGTTCGGTCTTTGACCCATGTGTTGAGGCCTTTCCCTGGCAACTCAAATGCTGTAAAAATCCGTTTTTGTCATCCAAAACATTTCTTCACTCAGAAAACTGGTGTGGTTTGCACGAGATTTCTCAGGAATGTGCATGAGTGTGTATCCATTCATGAACCAGTTTTTATTTATGATTTTTTTTTCTGTTTTAAACCACTCTGGGTATATCATACACATTTTATCATGTGTGCTTCTGCCTTAGGATTTGGTGGAGGACAGTGAGAAAAATGTAAGCCTCAGCTGAGAAATAATTTCCTTTCACAAAAACGGCAAAACCAGCTGCAACTAACTCCAATCTGTACCTATAAACTATTTTGGAGGCAAGCATCCAAAATGCAAGAGTGCATGGATTTGTGCTCTGGGACTGTCAGTGAATGTCATAAGGGTCCCAGTGCTAAGGCTTTGTAGAGGATTTTGAATTTTTTGGAGTAGTTTCAAGAAAATGACAGCATTTAAGAGAGGATAGAGTATATATTTATCTCTTAATTAATGTAGGATTATAGTCAATAGAGATAGATAAGAGCATGAAATGCAGAAACAGAAACATCTCATGTTCTTTTCCATTCCTGCCCCAAATGTGATTGTCTGTGGTACACAGAACACACGAACCTATAGTTAGCCATCTTTTTGTTAGTTTAAAAAGTAAGGTACTTAAAAATCTCTTTCCAAATACTCTTGAAACATCATGAGTTCGCACTAGTCTTTATCAAAACAGGAGGTGAAATAGAATCAAAACTAACATATGAATTTCTCATCCTGATGGTTTTAAGCATTATATAGTGAAGGTGTAAATAAATAAACAGCTATTGTTTTCAGGAATAGGGAATCTAAGTGATACATATAGTTGCCAGGAAATATTTTGTGGTTTGTTTTTGGTTATTGTGTCTTGGGTTTTGGTTTTTTTTTGCACAAGTACATTTTTCTTTTTGGTTGAGGGGAATTGTACCTGGAAAAAAAGTCTTAAGAGCAGGCTTTTGTCTTTCATTCTATTGGAAGTCATCTCTCCAAATCCAGGGAACTCCTCTGTCAATGTGTACTTCTACAAAGCCCACACTAAATTCCTTGTTTTTCAGTGCAGGGGAAAAAGCATTTTTAGCATGAAATTAATTGCATTAAGTAGACACCTAAACCAAGTAGTCCAAGTTAAACACTCCATATGGTTGCCTACATCTCTTCTGTGACTGTACAAGGAGTAGGGGCTGACAGGCTCAGAAATAAATTTCTAAAGAAGTCGGTGTCTTAATGTTAGGTGAGAGGTAATATTAGGTGAGAGGAATTGTGGTGTATGTGGCTGGAGACTGGTTACGTGTGCTTTTCATTCTGTGTCCTGTGAGGCCAAGAATTCCCAGGCATTGCTAACATCAGCAAATCCATTCTTACATTCTGTTGGTATCACTTCACTGGAAATGCTCCAGCTTGGCACTGTTGTAAGGGAAATATGAATTAGGCCCATTCATCTCTTTATTGGCGCAGGGGTTGCAAGACGGATCTTCGATGTGTTTATGTTACAACTGTGTTGTTGCATAACTTCAGACCAAGGAGCCTTTTTGACCTGTTATTTCTTATGCCATAGTTTTATATTCTGCAGATTTCATTTTATAAAGTGAGGAACATTTTGGCTTCCATCCAGAAAAATGTTTAAATGAGTACTGAACTTATTCATATGGGCATTTCCATAAAATTGCTGTTCTTTGCACTTTTCCATGGCAGGCAGGCTGTTTAAAGGGGAAATTTTTGAGCAGCTGGGGCAGAGGCAGGGTGCTGCAGGGAAAGTGGGAGATAACAGCACTCAAGAAGCCCTGAGAGGTGAAAAGCTATTTGTCCTGCTTCTGAATGAAAGATGCAGATAAGCACAAATTCAAGGCTGAATTCAAATTAGCTAAATAGTCTGGTATGGGTAGTGCAGCTTGGACATCTAGGAGAACCCCCTTGGGAAGTTTATGAGGGGAAACCTGCCTCTGGCACTATGGTACTTACAGTTGTCTTCCTGATTGCAACCTGTTAGTTCAGTCTTGTATAATACAAAAAGCTAACAGGTGACCAGACCCTTTCTTTCAGAAAACCCAAGAGGAGGTATGGTTTCATGTCTGTCCTCAAAACCTGTGAAACTTCAGTGTTGGGTTGAGTCTGAAAGCTGTTCTTAATCAATTCCTTACAAAAATTACTTTAATTTACCATGTCAGTATTTCCAAATGAAATTTTTCCTGTTGTTGGCACTGAACAGCCCAGGTATGAATTGGAAATCTTAGATTCAAATTCTGTATTTGTCCCACTCTTGCATGATTGCCAGTACCGACCACAAGAGCCAGCATCAAAGGAGGCAGGTGGTACCAGTGCTTCCAAACCAGTGATATTTATAAAAGCTGTCTTGAGCATGGGTTAACTGAGAGCAGCCCTGGCACCCAAGTCAAATAAGGCATCCAGGGGTGGGGGGTGGGTGTGGACTGAGGAGTGTTGCACATCAGACTCACTCTGACTTTTCTCCTTTGGCAGTGCAAGGCTCAAGAGCAACAGCAAGCAAGTGTGCATTGATCCCAAGTTAAAGTGGATCCAGGAATATCTGGAGAAGGCTTTAAACAAGTAAGACAAGACACAAATGGACTTAACAGCTAACATCCTGAGTTATTAAAGGGTAGAACACTAAGGGCTGGCTTTTACCATGCGGAAAAAGTACTTGTGGAATCAGATATTGTTTTGAAGAAGGGTTTGGAGTTGACCTAATTTGTATTAAAACAACAGTTTCTAGTATATTAGATGTTAAACTAAGAATTTTGCCAGGGTTTGAGGCAAAATCTATCCCAATGAATATGTTCTGGGGTCCCTAACTCATCCTCTTTTTTAAAAAAGCCGTTCTCCCAAGGAAAATTCTTCCTTTATGCCCCCTCCTCCCCAAGCCAAACTACAATTACTTCAGAATCTATATCATTCCAGGGTCTTTGAAGCCCCTTCTCCATGTTATACCAGGACTCTGGTTGCACAGGCAGCTGAGGCCTAGGGCACTAAAAATTGTTTCTCTGCTGGCCGGTGTGGAGTGCTAATAATGTCGGCCGATGCGAGATGTGCTGCCATGAATAAGGCTTTTCCATAAGGCCAGGGGCAAACCAGCCAAACTTGGCAGATTCAGCCTCTTTAAATCTGATTTTATTACCCTTGAAAGTGGTTGATCATGTCTACTTTGAGGTGGATTCATCCCATCTCCGTTCAATATTACATCGAGAAAGAAAGAGCAGCACAGAGCAAATTTCCTTGTTGAGCTGCAGGGGAGGGCTCCAGCCTTCCAAGTTTAGAAGATGAGACAGGTGATGGTACAAAGCATTTCCTTGCTCTTGATCTAGCAGGGCTGCTGTTGATCCAGCAGCAACATTTTGGCCAGCAAGCCTACCTGTGCACTCAGTATCCCTCTCACCCTTGCCCACCACATTCCCACCCCTCAGTAACTGCGCTGTAACCCTGTTAAACCTTCTACCCCCTCCATCTGTGGGGTGAAGGCAGGGCTGGAATCCAGTAATTTGCAAAAGCAATGCATTATTGGGGAAGGTACGACCCCAGGGCAGATGTGAGGCACAAGGTAGTTGAATGCCCTCCACTGTTTGTTTTGTAAATGCATCTGCCAAACAAGGGGTAGAGTTAAAAAAAAAAAATTCTTTGGTGTCCACCCCACCCCTCCACCCTGTGTTCTTACAATAAACAAGGGGGAAAAACACTATGAGAAGTAGAGAGATCCTTCCATGTGTCCCTTGTCACCACACTGGGGCCAAGAGTGAGGAGGAAGAAGGAAAGAAGCCAGCTAACTGTGATTCCAGCCCTGACAGCTCTTCCCATCTCATCCAATGCTCAGTGCCTTCTTTGCTGCCAGCACTCAGCCCTTTTGTCCTTTGGACAAATTCTCTGCAAAATTAATCCAGGTTAAAGCTACCAGGATGGCAGCTGAACCTAAGAGTAGGATGTGGCACATGCTGACTATCCTAGGGACTTGAGCTACTTTGTTTTACAAGTTGGAAAAGTCCTCAAGCTCCTGCTTGAACTTCTGTTTGCTGTCATCCCCAACCTGAAACTTAGGAGGCACTTTAGAAATGTGTAGGGTTGGGCAAATGTGATTATGTGCCTGTCTGACTTAGGGGAACAACTCAGCTGGAACACGTTCTGCTCTCACTTCCACTAGCAAAGATCTGGGGCCAGCTCTACTGAAACCAATGAGTCTGCCTGATCTCCAGCCAGATTCTGGGTTTTGTTTACCTAATGCTAATACAAAAGCAATTCTGCTAATTTGGTGTATTTCATCCTGGTTTACACTGAGTAACAAAAGAGAATTTGGTCCCAGCTCTTATGAAATGACAGAAAACATATATCTCCATCACCTAATCCTGTAATCATTGCATTGTTTTCATTTTCCAACTAGTAATCTAGCACCAGTGGCATTTTCATGCTCCGCAGACAGTCAGGGCTCTGTCTGTAGCATTTTCACAAGGCATGTTTTTGATATATTTTAGTGCACAGCTTTGACTTCTTCAATGAAATGTACTTTGGAATATATTTATAGTGCATCAAATAATTCATATATTTGAATTGGAGCCATATGAATGTTGGTAGTTTAAAACACCGATATCCCTCTAAACTACTAACAGCTTGTAAAATGAATCTATATAGATCTATAAATGTTAATGTAGCTATCAGTTTCAATCAGCCATATATTATATTTTTTCACTTGTACTGAAATTGTATTAAATGTGACATTACCCTATATGCACTAGCAATAAAATGGCTAATTGTTTCATGTTATGAAAACCCAATTGTACATGGGAATTTATTTTTCTGGAATAAAATCAATACGTTTTGTAGAAAGGGCTCTTGTAATTGTTTAAGTAGAATTCAAACTGTGAAAACATCTTAATCTATACCATCACTTCAATATGAGAATATCTTCGGTGTTATAATCTGAAGCTAAGTTCAAGGAAAAGTTCCTAGAATAGTAGTCCAATACAGTTAATTGTGAAACCAGAGATGGTTTTTAGTAGGGAATTATTTTGCTCACTAATTCTGCTCAGGCTTTATTATTGCTTTATATTCATCACATCTCCATGTAATATACACACTCACGAGGCATCAGTAAAATACATTCAGGCTGTCAGAAACTCAAATTCCTTAACTGGCTTTAAAATCATTGACCAGCTGCTGTAGCAAAAATCATCCAACATTCATCCATTTTATAGAACATGGGGCAAATCAGTCCTTCCTTGAAATTGCTAACAAATCCTCTATTACTTCCAGGCAATCTTAGTCATCATTTACCGTACATTGGCTCCCTTTCCCTTCTCCCCTTGTAAAAGGATATGCAAAATCAAGTCCTTACAGAGTTAACAGAGCCCAAAAAAAACAGAGACCATCTTGTCCACTATCATGTTAATATAGTCCCACTGCAGAACTTCTCTCAGTCCAAGATGCTGAGTCCATTAAACTCAGCCACTACTGCAGGCACAGAGGAGAGAGCTGATGGATCTGGAGAAGATAATAAAGTCACATGGGAAAAACCTTTGCTGGGAGAAAGGAAACTCTCAATGCTGCTGCCTTCCTATGTTGTGTTTGTAAACCCTGGTGTGGCAGCTCTTCCTAGTTTCTGACCTCATTTGTAAATAAGGGCTGAAGTCCAAGATGCCAGAACGACAACCTCCCAGAACTCCACCAAGTGTGTGTGGGGTGAAGGCCCCACATGGAGGGGGACAATGCAGGTGACTGTCTTTATAGTCTTGTTTTAAGGCACTGAATGCCTACAAATTCCCTTGGAGTAGCCATTGGTTCTTGCTGATGCATTTGGGAAGGCTTTGGCATTTTGGGTAAAAGGGTTGTTCTGGCCTCAGAGTTTCAAATGTCCTGCCACCAGGGCACTTTCATTTGCCTAGCATTCCTCTGAGGCAGAGGGTATATGAAAGGGGATGTTATCTTCATTTGCACCCCATCAGCAAGATGTGAAAGGACCATAGGATAAATGTGAATAAGGCCTTTGTATATGGATAATTTATGGCAGTCTTTTTTGTATTTTTCTTTTAATTTAGACCACGTCATCGCACTCATAAAAAAAAGCAACAGAAGAAACGGGGCCCCCTCTGCCCTTCCCGTGCAACATCACTAAAGTCTCCAGGGAGAAAGAATGGTAGGAAGCATTAGTTTCTGAGCTGGGATACTTCAGGTTCAGATCCCTGCTCTTCCACTGACCATCATATGACACCTCGGGCAAATGCATTAGCTTATCCAGACCTCCATTTCCCCCCATATTTGTTGAGAATAACATCTCTACCCCTCCTGCAAAGGAGTATTATATAGATCAAACTCTTAAAAACAAGGAGAAATTTTAGCTACAACAGATGTGGGAAAATTTTCCCATTTTAGTATGAGAAAATGGACACACAAAGTGGCCAAAATAACACTGAGAAGTCAAAGTCAAAAACAGAGTAAATGTTTGGGAGCTCTCTTTCTTTTAGGTCCAGTAACAAACTGACAGAGTTTAAATATAAATAATAGCTGTGAATTTGCCACTGGTGTTTTTTAATGACAAAAGCAGCACCGCGTGTTGACAACAAGATTTGGTGCATGGGTGACTGGTTGATGCCTTTCCTATGGGAGATGCTAGGGAAGTCCCAGAGAATGGTGCTATAAATACTAGTGCTCTGGATGTCCCAGTTGTTTTTATTATCTCATCAAGGTGGTTTGTCCTGCCTTTATGCACCAAAAGAAGTAGGGTTTACTGCTGTGGACTATTGGAAAAGATATCTTCAGAGAGGAAAATTTTCCTCATGGCTTAGTCATCCTCTTTGTACCTGGGTGTGTTTTCTGAGACTACTTTTACTAGGAGTAGCCACAGCTGTCTCTGGCTTTGGTCACACAGACTTAGTTGTCCAGCAGACATTGGAAAGGATGTTTGACAAGACACGCTGGGACATCAGAATTTTTTAATAGCTGGTGTTTACCCCCTGACACTCATAACTCAGCCTGAGTGACCTCAACTGGATTGCAAAAGGTTGATCAGCCTGGAGCAGGAGTAGGGATCACTTCACACAAAACCTGGAGGCCACCAATACAAACTGGCTCCTTGTTCTGAGTGAACCATACGCACAAGACGCTTGTGCAACTTGCCTAACCCACGCTCTCCCAGGTCCCATCCTCACACTGAGAGACTCACTGTGTGTGCATCCCACCCTGAGCTCCCAACCTCAGCACTTCAGGTCTCACACACTTACTGTGCAGCACGTGGCTGCCTGCCCTCCCTGCCACCCCACCTTCACTGGGCAGGTGGTCACCACAAGCTGTTGTGCTCCCCAGCTGTTCACAGGGGGAGGGTCCCAGAGCAGGGAGCCCATGGGGATGGCTCCTGGATGGGCAGCACACTGTGTGCCTCTGCTCTCCTCGTGGTGGAAGCCAAACAGCAACAAGAGCAGAGCACAGGCTGCTTTTAATGCTCTTCCATCCTCACAGAGACCTGGCACATTCTGGAGCTGCAATCTGTGATCTCCATCAGTTGTGGGCTAGGGGCAGGTGGAGGAGGCATTCCCAGTGCCACTTGCTCCACTACTGGGGCTGCTCACAAATGATTAATCTCTCATTTCCCTGCTGGTTTTTTTGCTGAGTTTCTTTGGCCACTGATAATTCTTTGCTCTGGCTTTCAAGTCCAGAATAAGCTTTCTAGCCAGCCTTCCTCCTATGTTAGTTCTGAACACCTTACTAACTGTGATGAGCACAACCTGCCCAAAATAACACCCATTGCTGGGTTTGCCCTGTTGAGTCCCAGTTGCTCCTTGTGGAGAATTTCTCCCCAAATGTTCAACAAAAAATGGTTGGAGGGGCTACAAAAGAAATGCCTTTGGGTTAGTCCAAACACAGATCTGCTGTTTGGCTAGGCCTGATATCAAAGCTCTTGCAACTGAAATAAACCTTAATAGTGTTTCACTCTGTTCTTCATCAACAGGAGGTTCAAGATGTAAGAGCCAAGCATTGTAAGCCGTCTACAGGATTTCTTACTGTAGGACCCAGACAGCAGATAACCAGTATTAGGGAATGAATACATTTTACTGTTATCATGCAGCACAAAAGCAACGCTTCACGCATTTCCAAAGGGTTTTTTTCTTGTTTGGTTTTTTTTTCCCCTTGCACAAATTAGCTTGCTTTCACAGTGCTATTTTTATATAGTAAGATGTAACTATTCAAAAAAATATATGTTTTTTACAGGTTGGTTTATTACTTAGCACTGGGGGCAGATACCAATTTAAACTAGCCCTATGTTATGTAATATTTTATTACCCTTGTTATGTAGAGGTCCTGCTTTATTTAACTTTCTCTTGGTTCATGCAAGTCTCCTGGAGTTTTAAACCGAGAAGGACATGAACTGTACAGTGCAATGATGTTTTGTAAGTAGTGGAGGAACTCCTTGCCTCCGGAAGTCATAGAGGCCAAGAACATAGGAAGGCTAAAAAGCATCAGATAAAAGCAGACAGCGTTACCCTGGGTGGAATATTGGGTGAGGGATTAAACTCAGGGCTACAGGGCTAAAACCGTTCTCTGAAGATCAGAAACCTTGGCCACAGCTATGAGCAGCTGGGCCAATGGATGTTTGGTATTTCGGTGCTAGTACTTGGTTTGTAGTTGTTGTGTGTATTAGGAGCCACAACACCAATCTGATGTCAGCTGGCATTTCCTATGTTCCTGTGTTTCTGATGACAAATTTAGCAAAAAAAAAAGAAGGAATTGGTTATTAAAGCTCTAACCACACGACCATGTTGCAAGCTGCTGGAGAAGTCAGATATGCTGCCATGCACCAGATATCTCTTCCCACCATCCACAGGAGGTGACTTCAGCTTGCCTGTCTGGCTTTGCACAGAAGTAGGCTGAGGTGCAGTCACACTTCACTAATGATGCTGTAGGTCTGCTACTGAACAGTCACACCTACCTGAGGGCAGTCACATCTTTGATTGCTCTGGAGACACCCAGAAGAGGATATCTGGACATATCTTTGGAGAAAAGAGATGCCTGGGGCAAGAGAGGGTCTGTCTAGTGTTTGGAAGGAGTGGCATTTCTTGGGTGTGGAAATGAAGGCCAACACACTGTTCACCAGCTGTCATGGCCTTGTTTGATGGTGAACGGATTAGCCTCTGGAATTTCCTTTGCAAAGAACATCTGGGGACAGGCACCACACCTTGTACCAACCCCTCTCTAAGCCAGAAGTTTCTTTTTCCCAATTTCTTCCTGTAAACACAATATCTGCTATATAGTATATGGAAAGACACCTGCAGCACTGATAATCGTGTTATGCTGTGCACTGGGATCTGGGGGAAAGCACATTAGTGCAGCACAATGCTTGTGTTTGTATGTATTTTTGTCTGTATTGTAAACAAAAAAGTGTTGTAAGGTTGTCTTTTTTTTTTTTTTGAGCTGGTTGCTTCAAAAGGAATCTTCCCTCTTCCCTGCAACCTGTGTTGGAAACACTGAGAGGAGGTGTTTCACTGATCACTCCTTTTTTGTGGTAGGCATCTTTAGTGCCAAAGTGGCATTTCGTCTAGCCAGGGACTACATTATTTCCTTGTGGATTCAGGTAAAAATCTTGTAAGTATTTTCGTCTCTGCAAAACAGGGTTAGTGCAGAGAGTCCTTCAGCTGGGACCACATCACCTCATTTGCTTTAAAGCAGAAACCCAACTGCTGTGCCTAAAATGTTTGTGTGTGTGATTTTGACATTCCTTCTCTTGTTATCATACCAGCCTGGTGCTTTAAGTAATTTTTGTCTCTGTTTTGAAAGGTCTGGTACCACTGTATTTGACGAGAATTGAAGTGTTGATTTAGTGAGTAGGATCAGATCCCCTCTTTAAAGGCTAAAGACTGAAAGAAATTTTATGAGAAAACTAGAGTTCCTAGTATCCTCCCTGGAACTATACTTCATATCTTAGGGTCCATCTCCTGTCCCACGCATGCACCTGCAATTGCAAGTGTTTTGTGAGAGGCAGACGTGTGAGTATCAAAGCCAAGAATGACTGCAGGGAAAGTGTGCAAGAATCTTGGTTTTGACACAGACACAGAAGTTCTTCTCACCCAGGAAGGTGCATTCTTCACACATGATTCCTATCGAAGGACAACTTGAGGTCTGATTCATTCCCATTGGAGTAGATGGAGAATTAAATAACTCTCTGATTTTGATTAAGCAGTGTATCTTGCTAATGACAACATTATTTCACTAGGGGAGACATTGGCTTTCTGGTGAGAAGATGAGTGTGTAGTTGTGACTGCACAGCTTTGCCAGTGCTCTGCTGCAGTCCTTGTTAACAGGGAGTGCATCTGGGGTCAGCACCATCAGGGGAAGGTCCCTGGGAATATGCCAACCCCACATTACAGCCTGGGCAAACAAACTGCTTTGACAGGAGCATTGAGATGGGCAGTGCTGATGCACCCCAGCCAAACCCCAGGATCCCAGCTCTGGACAGTATAGCATCTTCTCTTCTGGGTGCAAACTAGTAGGTGCTGCAGGGGTAGACTGTGCTAAAGGAAGGGCATTAGCTCCTGGGAGAAACCATGAGCAGCAGCAGGAAGGAAAGGCACTCCATGCAAGGCTGGGGAACATTTACAGCCAGGTGGTGATTGTCTGGGTGCCTTGTGGGCCATCTGCCCCTGACATTTCTTAGGACCCACACGGTGATCTAGGCCCTGACACCTTTGTGCTGGTGACACTTCACTACTTATATAACTGAGACCACTCAGGGTACGGGGCTGCTCTCAGGGGCCAGCACCATGTCCCTCTCTCACCTGGGCAAGGTTGAGCACAGCTTGAATGCAGATGTGGCACAGACCTGGTAGGAGACTTAAGTGAGAATCTGATAAAACCTTTCTCTTGCTTTAAACCAAAATTCAAGCTTGAGTGGGAAGCTTTGCTCTGTGCCTGACATTATTTGTGTGATGTGTTGGGAAGAAGAGCCATGCCCTTCGCACTACAGAAATCAATCCCTGGGCTGCCCCAGTGCACCACATGTCATTCCTTCCCTACACCACAAGTAGAGCAAGCTGAGAAGCAGCACTATCAGAATCTCGCTTGAGGAGAGTACTTGGTTTTCCTTTCTGCCTTTAACTGTTGACCAAAGACAGAATCAGGGAAAGGAAGCGTGAGGAGATGGGAGTGAGGTAGAGAGCATATGAGAAGTGGAGGGCAAAGAGATGACACTGAACTGTGCTTAAAAAGCAGCTTCCATAAATGTGAAATCATCATGTGGGTATTTTCAATGTGCAGCTGTCGAATCCCAAGGCTGGATTATTTTTTAAGTCTAGATGGTATTTATTGCTGTGTAATTTTTTTTATTTATACTAGCTTTATACTTGTATGTATGAATATCTTATCTGAATTCTGCCTAAGGAAGGATGAAGGGTGACTTTCTGATGTGTTTTTAACTAAGGTGTTTTAGAAATGGTGACTGTTTATTTTGCAATGAAGGCTATATTTGAAGATAAATATACATTTTCTGTTGAAAATGCAGTTCCTATAGAATTTTTTGTGGCCATTTTCCATTTGTTAGCCTCTAAAGGGTCCTTCTTTTCCCTGGCAAATTGTTTTGAGTGATGTGATTTATAGTACCCAGGATTTTTTGTGACCTCATCACCTAAAATCTAATTTTTTTTTTTACCAATATCGCACCAAGACAAGCCTTGTCTGAAAAGACGAAACCCTGGTGGCCACAGAGAAGAAAACATGTATGAAAATATGTAAGAAAAGGGCTGCATGCTCCATCTTCTACTCCTTAACAACTCCTTTTTGTCAGAATTGTCACAATGTGGTAAATACTGTACTTTATATTTTTATTAAGTAAAAAGAAATATCTTCCCAAATAATGTGAAAAGAGTTTTGTATTTGTGTTTCTGTAAGGCAGCTTTTATGGAGGAGTTATATTATGCTTTTGAAATTACTCCTTTCATAGAAAATTTTGAAAATAAACACTTTTATATTGTTGTAATTTCTCTCATAAATGTGTATGCACCTAAAATTTTCATAATAAAAATGTCTATCTAAATTAAATTTTTACTCCTAATTTTTTTCCTCACATACAAAAAGCTACAAGTTGTGCTCGGAAAAAACATTCTGAGACAGTTTAAATGTCCAATTTCAAGGATGCTTCCATATAGCCCCAATGGCTCAGACTCTGCAGGGAACTTAAGGCAAAGGACCCATGGGTCTTGCAGGGAGAAGCAGCCTAGCAGATTGAAATGGGCCATTTCCAAAGAGAAACACTACCATGTTCCCTAAACAGAAACCCAAAATTTGATTTTACTCCTTTTCCCCAAACTTGTCCCTGCAGCATTTTGACTTCTGTGGAATTGAGAACTGTGAGTGGGTTTTGCTCCAGCAACAGGGATGTCATCATCATCTGTTCTGAGAAGGGATGAAGGTTTCTCTGAAAAGCCTGAAGGGTGTCAGGGGATGCATTTGATGAAAGAGCAGATGTGAGAAACACTATCCTTGGAGCTGCTTTTTCCAGGGCACAGCAGGGTCAACATTCAGTTTGGAGGTGAAGAATGGTTTTGGAGGCTTGTAGAACTGACCTGAGAAGGAGGTACAATCCTAACTTGGATAACGTTGTAGGAAATTTGCTGTGAATTTAAAACTATGATTTGAAAACTGTCTTGTCACTACCTTTCCCCATCTGAGTTCTCATGGCAAGGGGAAACCTCTTTCCTGAGGTCACCCTGGTCCCTCCACACTGACTTCCTCCAATATGCCAGTCTGCCTCCATCCATCCACAGCAACAACACAAGTGAATCCCAGCACTGTGTACAGCTCTGGCTGGAGCACAGTTTAGGGATAGTTTAATATAACAGAGAAACAGTGCTTGAGCCTTACCAATCTTCTTGCTCAATAAATATTTCTTGGCCAAATTCACGCAAGGCAAAAGACATGCCAAAAAATGGAAAAAGGAAACTCATTTGACTGATGATCCCATTGCAAATCCAGCAATGATTTACTAAGAGATTATGAAAATCTCAGCAGGTAATTCTGAGTGCAGATGGTTAGTGAGAGATTCCCAGGCCACTGTGAAATGCATTGGGAGTAATTAGCTACAAAATCACACATTAAGCACAAACCCCATGTTCTGTGGAGCACTTTGCCATACCTTTCATCAGGTTTTTCTCTTGAATGTGAAAATTTTGGTTCTTACTTCCTCAGCAAAGCATCATGTCAATGTATCCACAAACTGCCTAGGAATTGGAGGTGAAGCCACCTTATTAGCACATCTGGCTCTCTTCATAGGCAGCTTTCCAATATTAGCAAGCTGAAGGAAATCAGCTGCATTCGTGGTCTCAGCCATCCTGACACTGATTATGGGCTGGATTTATTAGGTCCTGGCATGGTCAGAAGACAGCATGGTAAATGCCTCTGCTTTGTAGGACCAGCTGGGGATGTTACCACTGAGGATGTTATCTCGGATGCTACATGATAAGGGTCACTACTAGCTTCTAGTGAGCATTTGCCTGTTTTAAAAAGCTACTTGCTCTGAAGTCATCCCAGGAGTCCTTCAGACAAAACAAATATGTAGCTTTGAGACTAGCAAAGGCAAAATTAAAAAAACAAAACCAAAAAACCCAAGGCCTAAAAGCTGAAGCCAGAGAATCTCAAACTGAAAACAGATTTTTAAGTATGGAACTGATTAGCCTTTGGAACACATTCCCCTAGAGAGGGGGGAAGGAAAGTCCTAATCCTTCCTATGCCTTCAGAACAGGGCTGAATGCCATTGTGTTGTTAGCCATACACAGCTTGCTGGGCTCTCAGGGGACATGGGGTGAAGTTCTCTTGCCTCTCTTACCAATAGTGTTAGACAAGATGAGCTAAGGATCTCTCTGGCCTCAGAAATACATATGCAGAAAGCCCCAGTTCCAAGGGAGCATTCCTCACCCTGTCTGTGATTAATAACACCAGCATATCATCAGCCATCCCAGCTCCATTTGGACCAAGGCTGAGGAGGACTCTTGCTGTCACACAGGAGACAGATTTGAGGTAAAAGGATTCCATTTCTGATTATGAAGGTTGCCCTCCAGCTGCAGGGGCAGAGGCGTGGCAGTGAGAGAAGTCTGCAGCCCTGTCCTAGGTCCATGCACGCCCCAACTCTGGCAGGGGAGGTCTGCTCACATGGTTCCCCTCTGGAGCACACTGCTCACACTACTGATCTTGTAGGAACTCCTGGAGTTTCTTCCTTTGTCCTTTTTTGCCTCTTACTCTTATTTGTCCTTTGTTTTCTCCTCTGGCTCTTTGGGCGTCTTTCCTCTCAACCCCAGTTGTCTCACTTGAAGGGACAAATCTTCATAATTTAAAGCCATTCTCTGCCAATCATCATCACCTTCCTCCTGCTTCCTCATCCTTGGTCCTCTCAGGCTAGGGCCAGTCATCCATTTCCAGTCTCTGAAAGGGGTGGAAGGATGTTTCCCTCCTGTCCTTCGCAGTCATGGTATCAGAGCAGGATCCAAGGTCCTCTTGGAGGGAAGCTGCATGACTGCTGCTGCAGAGCTGTTTGTCTTTTATGCTCTTGGGCTCATTCCCATCTGTAAAGTCTGATCTATCTTCCCCTGCCTGCACCAGCAACACCCTTTGGCACATCAGCCCATCCTTAGCTCACATGGCTCCCAGCTCCTCCTACAACCAGCCATTTCCCACAGTAGCTGCTGAGGAAAAACAGTGACCTGTTATTGCTGCCTTCCCCCTCACTGCCAGCAAACAGAGCTGAACCCTGACACACTGCCTTTGTGAGATGGTAGAACCAGGGTAGTGCTTTAGGCTTCCAGCAAACCCAAGTCAGACCACCATGGCTGGAATGGCAGGTAAAGCCTAGCACAGCCTGTTGAGGGGTGGAAGAGCACAGCCTAAGAACAGAAGGACAGGGGTTTAAAATGCTGCTGTAGCTCACTGAAACCTCCAAAACATGTGTGATTCTTCCATCCCAAAGGTCGGCAATCAATTCCAGCTGCCTAGCGTGCCGTGTGATTTATTGCAGTGCCTGGAAGAAGATTTTGACTGTGGTGAAACATGTTTGTACGTTGCCTGTAAAAACAGCAAATCTGAAGAGAGGACTCTCTGGATCCGGTTCAGAGTATGTAACAAAACAGAGATGTCCAAGTCCTTTCACTCGCAGTACCACACCAATACATAAAGCCAATATGAGTTCAATATCTAGCACACACTATCTGTTTTGCCTCTGAGCACCACAGACAGACTTAAAATACTGCAGACTATACTGTACAATTCCTATGCAAAGACTACTTTCAGGAGCAAATGCCAACCCCCCTTGCATAGCCTAGCCCACGTTTTCTAAATTAGAGGCTTTCCACAGGGCAGAGCACTAGTAAAATAGCTCTGCACAAAATATTTGGAAACAGAGAAAAAGAAAGGAAATACTTCTTTTTTTCAAAATATAGATATTATGAATGCAAATGGGAGTCTGACCCTGCATTCCTGTACTACAACAACAAAAGCAGGTGGATGACTACCATCATGGTACACGTCCACATTAAAGATTAAGGTCTTCATAGTAACTTCCAGTTACATGGCCTGGTTGTTTCAGTGATTCTCCTACATGCATTATTGCCTGCTAAGTCATCTGCCCTAACCCTGTTACTGAGGGATTGGTACCACCCTCCCCACCCCTTGGGATCTCCAGAGCAGTCATCTGGTCTTGCCAAGACGAGGTGGTGGGGAAAGATTCCAGGGGCATTTCCAGAATTTATGTGTTGTATAAGCTTGTACTCCCCTACTCTTTCATCTCATCTCCCGGTTTGATTTTCACTTAGTCGACATTTTGGACAAGGTCCCTTTGTGCAGCAGTTTCACAAACACAGAAGGATAAAGACAATCCCTACCTGATAGATTTCATGGTCGAAGATCTGCTCTGCTGGGCTCTTAGTCAGGCATACATGTTGCAAGAAATGCAAATCTCTATCTCTTCACTGGGTGTCGGACAAACATCACACCAGATGCAGGATGGTTGTCAAGCAAATATTGAAGTACAGATCATCCAATTTCACATTCAACTCTTCCACCATACGCAAGATTTGGTTAACAGAAAGTTTTTCAGTTCCTTGGAGGGGTGGAGTATTGTAAAAAGATAGTGGAGAAGTGACAAGGAAAAGCAAGGCTTCCCACTCATTCAGTTACAAGAGATAAAGCCTGGAGGGACGCTCTGCAAGCAAGAGATGAGTAGGTCTGAGTTGTGCAGCTTCCTCCATGCAGTCCCTACGTGGCTTGTTCCCATGTGCATTTTAGCAACGCTCACCCCCTGTATCACTGTTTTGGGCACCCAGCCATTCTCGCTCCTCCCTTCCCTCCTTCCTATTGCACTCCCTCCTTCCTCACTTCTAACTACCATAAGATTTCTTTTTCCTGCTGCCATATTATTTGTTGCTGACTTTGGACATTCTTTATGGCCTTTCATCAGGCTTCCCATTGCTCACACATTCTGCACTGGTTTGGCCTGCTCTGCCTTTTGTCTGTGCAAAACCAAACTCTTTATCTGTGGCCCGGAGGCCATAGTGACTTCAGGGCTTTCCCAGTGCCAGCATCTAATTGCAAACAAATGGATGTCCTCAGCTACATCCACAGCAATACTGTGTCTTGGGTGGGAGGGCCTGATTCTGCTCCCACTGCACTGTGTGACTGGTGAAAGGCTCATGATTTACAGCAGTGTATCTCACATTACCATCTGGCCTTCAGCAGTCTAGTTGCCTTGGATGAGAAGGCATAAAAGCCGCACAATGCTCGTGACATGAATATTTCTAGTGTCTGGTTTCCCTTAATGTCAATGCATAAAGGGGAATTGATTGCAATGAACAATCTGTATACTCTTCTGAAAATCCTCACAGATCACAGAACTAAATGGCACAATGTTTCCACTCCATTTCTACCTCCCTTTGAAACCCACAAGGGGATCATCGCTCCACGACAAGGACTGCCAGAGAGAGGCATATGGAGCCAGGCATCATGTGGCTCATGTT